ATAAATAAATAAATGACGTGTTTACATTTTTTTATTTTAAAGACATAATTTCAAGAAACTGTCACATCTGTCACTTCACCAACACACAAATGGCAAAATGGGTAAAGAGCAGTAACAGGCATTTGGCAAAAGATATTTAGAAACTTCTCAAATGTAAAGAAAACAATGTTCAGCATAAATAGTAATCAAAAGCAAACCCAATTTAAAACAATAAAGCATAATTTCCCATGTACTGATTTAACCAAGGTAAAAAGAACAATTATATCCACTGTTGTCAAGGGCAAGGCAAACAGGGAAGTCTCATATACAACTGAAGGGAATGTTGATTGGAATGTACCTTACAGAGGGGAACTAACAAAAAGTAAAAAGAATGAGCTATGCGAATAAACAAAGGAAGACCCTTTCTGACAGAGAAATCAAGAAATACAAAGGAACCAAGCTCAAGGTATACTTGGGGTGTTCGAGAAGCATCAAGGAGGCCACAGTGGTTGGAGCAGAGTGAGCAAGGGGGGAAAGAAGTGGATGAAGACGTATTGAGGTAATAGGGGCCACATCCTGGATGGGACTACAAGGACGTTGGCTTTTCCTTGGAATCAGATGGTGAACAACAGGAGAGTTTAGACAAGAGTAACATGATCTGATTCATATTTTGATCAGATCTGCTTTGCTAAGACTAGACTTGGGTGGATGGATAAGAGAAGAAGCAGGGAGATCATTTCAAAGGTTACAGCCATAATCCAGGCTGGGGAGGGGGGTGGTGTGATGGTTTGTTAGATTAGTGTGGTAGCAGCAGGCGTGGCGAGAAGTGGTTAGATTCTGAATATAATTAGAAGATACAGCCAAGAGGATTGGCAATGGGTTGGATGTGTGGTGTAGAGACGGAAGTCAAGGTTCATTCTGTCAGACAGTGCTAGTATACCCTAACATCTTTTCTCCCTGTCTTCAATAGAATTAGAATTTATGTCTGAACATAAGATTACCCAGAGAAAGATATTTCTCAGCCTCCCTTATAATTAGTTATGGCCACATGACAAGTTTAGGTCAACAGCATATGAACGAAAACAATATGTGCAAGAGCCACCCTGTGCCCTAGAGGAGAAGGAGTGTGCTCTCTCTTTTGGACACAGAAATGAATCGTCCTGAACCAGCCTGAGGGATGGCTAAGCTACAAAATACAAGAAGTCTGGGTCCCTGGTGTTTTCGTAAATTCTCTTTCTCAAATTTCTCTTTACCAGATCAGACTTCACCATGAGAGTAAGAAGCCTCTGTCTTGCTTAAGCCATTATGATTTGGGATCTCAGTAAAATGCAGCTATACTAATACTGAAATTAAAAGTTTAACTGTGGGAGGAATGGATGGATATGGTAGATCTGGGCTCAACAGCTATTTCATCTTTCTGTGACAGTGCCTTCTCACAGTGCAGGTGTGAGAAAGATTAAAACAAAAACAAAAGCAAAACCCTTCCTTTTCCAGAATCTCTTGAAGCTAGAGTTCTGGTGTTAGATATGGTCAATCAGATGCACTTGCATGAGACTTGGAGGCAAAAATGAGGTAGATTTCTCATTTCGGCTGCATCTGCAGTTTTTTTTTTTTTTTGCTGACATCACATTTAGACAGATATATTTGTTTTCTTTTTCTTTTTTTTTTCCTACAGAAGCATTTGCAAAGGTTCCAGTAGCTGTCACTAACTTAGTGTGCACTGAGAAATAGGGCGTAGATCAATGCTTCTGCTGACACCGATTTGAGCAGTTAAGACGTTGTTCTGGAGCTGCACTCGAAGGAGTAGCTTCCTGACTATGGTGGTTTCCTGACTGCAGCAGCGGTGCTTTGATTCTACAATTAGTGGCTGCCCTTGGTGCTGGTTCTATGGAGCAGCTTGGTGATTCATTTCTGAAAATTCAACCTAAGGTTTGTTTCTCTGGCCCTCTCAAGAATTTTGTAAGCTGTTTAATACACTGTAGTAAGTCCCTACCTGTTTAAACTACAGGAAACCTGTGAGAGCCGGAACTCGACAGGACTGCTTTGTTTTCCCAAGTCACGTAAGTTTTACGCCTTTGAGAGGGTGCAGTCTTACCACTTTTCTGTTGCTCATTTTAGTGGAAAATATTTGAGTTTTCCTTCTCTGACAGTCTTCCTTACACAGGTTCTGGCTTTCACAGGTTTTACTGTACTTAGAATTATACTCTTTACAACTAAAACCTAACCAAACAGATCCCAAGGCCCAAACAACTGGAAGGACGGAGCTGCCATAACTGGGAACGGAAGGATGATTTTAGGGAAAAAAAGAATTACGAGCTTGATTCTTTCAGAGAAAGTGCAGCCAATGAGTTAAACAGAAAACTAGGTGAGTGGTGTCCTAGAAGTCAAGTGAAAAAGTATTCAAGGTGGACGGAGAGATCAGTTACGCCCAATGTACATATGTCAAGGAGAAGAGGACTGAAAAATAGATAGTGGTTTACCAAGGCAAAGGTTAAAATGATCTATGATGCATATAACTTTGATAATCACAAATCATTTTTAATATGCCTCCTCAATGTTTAAAGTACAATACTCAAGAAGTAGATAGAAACAAGAGTATAGCATTGGATAGAATAAAAAATCAGTGTGAAACACACCAAATAGACGGTTAAAAACTTAAACAAGTAAAACACAGGTCACACTATTGGTATTAAACACCAATCACGGTAACAGAAATTGAAGGGGAAAAGGAAAGCACAATGCTACAGCCCAGCTTCAGTAGTTGTTTTTGTTCGATAAAGTTAATGTTTATTGTTAGTTGCTACTGAGTTGGCCCCTGACTCATGAGGACTGCACACATTCATTTAGATCTTTATAAAATGTAAACATGATCAGGGGTCATTCCCTGCT